TATAAAAGAAGTAAAAATTAACCAAACATGCACCGATGAATTGAAGCAATTTTCATCTTTGATGGAGCGATAATTAAGGTTATTAAAGAAAACAGTGCGTTTATTGACATTGTTGCACTGTTTAGGTTATATCTCCATCTCTCTGAGTTTCATATAAAATCGTCGTGTGCTTCGTGGAGACTACGATGACTTACAATGATTATAGATTCATTATGTTTTGCTACTTGCAAGCAAATATGTAATTAGAAGAGAAAAAAATAATTTTCCCAAGAAAAATTTACCTCATTTTTCATTTGTAGCAAATCGTAGCGACTTTTTGCTGACAGATCAAGAACATGGCAGTAGACAACAAAATGGAAGTATGTATATGATTTTCGGTTGCATTCTTGATTCCCGGTCGCCACATTGTCTTTTTTTTTTAATTCGTCCGTAAGTATTTTGTTGGAAATACATTTCAATGTAATGTAATATAAATGGCTCACGGAATAGATTTGTTTGTGAGCTATGTATTTTAAACTTTTCTTCCTTTGCAAATATCGTCGTTATTGGTTTGATCCCATTTCGATACCTCGGTTTTGGTGAAGAGGTGTTTACATATGTACGTTTTCTTGATCATCATATCAGTCGGATTTGATTTAACTGAATACATTACAGAGAAGAGGGAGTTCTTAACTGCCGAAGACTAAAAAAACCGATTACTTGCTTTTGAGGGAAATGGTCTCCTCAATGTCTGTTGTGTTGTCGGCGAGCCGTCTGGCCGGTTCGTCCCTCTTTCAACAGCAGCCTTCCTAATATTCGAATTTTTGCGACCAAAGGCGTGCGGACCACCGACGGACACTCCTGGATCGATTTAGAGTTTGATACTGATCGAACGTATACATACATACTTTACGAAGTATGCGAAGTCCCTTTCCGGGTGTTGCAAACGTATCGATACTCAACATTCGTTAGGCATCGAAACAATTTAAAAAACAGTCCCTCAATAATTTACAATCCGAAAACACGATCAAAAATGTTGAAAAAAACTATGTACCATACTATTGAAAACTTCAATATTAAATGAGTGGACGCAATTAACCAAATAAAAAGAAGAATTTGACTATACTGAGCTCCCTAGCGTTCCGTATTGCTCAGCGTGAATCCAGTTGGATGCTTGTACAGACATGAAAACCTGAAATTTATTACTTGCATTCCTAGCTGATGGCTGCAGGTCAAGTTTGGAAACCAATCTGACTGGCCGTAAGTTATGGCAACGATAAATGTATATAGCAATCCGTAATGACCGATAGATATCAGTTTCAAGCAAGATTACTTAAACCAGTTAACTGCATTTGTCGAATATGTCATGATCGGTACAACCGTCCTTGTCGGATTTTCTCATTCGATTTCATCATTATGAATGTGTATTTGCCATAATAATGTATTTTTAGAATGTGTGTGTGTGCCATTTTGTGAAGCCATTTCGGTACGCGCTAATTTAATATTACACTTACTGTTTTTTTGACGAGTATACGAGTATATTGCCAAAAGGGTCGACACTAGTTAAAACTGTATTGCAAGAAAGGCAGGAAGGAAAAGAAAATCAAAGCAAAGGAAAAGAATTTTAATCTACTAATCCAAAGCTGGGAGGAAACATTTTCCAGTGTGACACTAAAATATGTGTAAAAGGGGTACACTTGACCAACGGAAAATTGGGCGACGTCCATAGCTAATTCGTTGCAACTTTTGTGAATACATTTTTTCTCATTTCCGAACGAATTGTTATCATTTTATGTTATAAACGTATTCGGATAGGCTCGAATTAATACAAAACTTACCGGAAAATGTAAGCTGGCAATCCTGGTCAAAATAATTGATGCGACAACAAAACGCAGGCAAAGTGTTATGAAATGTCGACTATATACATATATATGTAGCACATATATACGCCAAAAAGTTAATGGAAACGAGGAGAACAATTCAAACATGTACACCCTTGCCTCTGTATGCGCGCATACATACATATGCGAAATACATATATATACGATCGTGCTTATTATTTGCAAGCAATAAGTTTATGAAAGGAAACACTTGCAGTATAATTGCAAGCTATTATAAAAACCTGTAGAAGGCAACTTGCGGACTGATTAAAACCTTATATGAATTTGTTTGAATAATAGACCAAAAGACACGAAAAGAATACAAGTCACAATTATTTCAGCTTGAAACGACTTTTTCTTATCGATAGTGAGGAATGTATTCAATGAATTTTGACGATTGTCACGCATACATATATTTGATAATCCATGGATGGGTGAATGCACTTATGCATAGCATAATGTAAGCGAGCACCTGATCTGCCTACGATGTTTGTTTGCGATGTAGAATGAAGATCTGTTAAACTTCGATAAAATCTACAAATGAAAGAAGTTCGAAATTGGGTTCTTAGGTCATTCAGGAGCGGAAGCTTTGCATTTCTAGCCAATTTAAAACCCATACTTACCTCTGTCTACACAACCCTGAACACATAAGTTCAATAAATTAGAAGCAAAAAAAAACTTTAACTTGTATTTTCTCACTACAGAAACATCAGTACCTGAAGAATACCTAAAGAAAATATAATTAATACAATTACAATTAATTTGGCCAGAGAAAGAAATTCAAAGGCCAAAGTCTTATAAGCGCTAATATCTGAGGCTACAGACTTTATTGAAAATTTTACCGCACTTGAGATTTAACCGAGAGGCCGTGGAGCTATTAGTCGAGCTGCTTAGCGTACGCGGCCATTCAGGTAGACAAAAAAATCTAATAAAAAATAATTGTTTAATAAATCGCCTTTTAATTGTGCTTCGTTCATGTATTCAATTAATTGGCAGTTTTGTTGAGAGCTCTAGTGGATAGGGAAATGAAAGAAGAAAAAGTTATTATCAATTTGCACCGGGAAGGCAAAAAGCGCCAAAATAGCTGCAGAAAAATAGGATATAATGTCATTCAATTGAATACAATGACTATTTACACACTGTATCAAGGAGGCTTAGTACTTTATTCTGGAGGAGTTATATAAGGAGCTTGTCATAAACATAGATGGCGGACGTCACATAATAAAGAGAACAAGTATGCAAATTATATTTGGTTGTGCACGAACTTTCCTTCACTTCACCTTTGCTTTAAAGAAACTCAACAAAGATGTAATTTCGATGATCTATAATATATCTCTATAATCTATATATATATATATGCATAATGTATAATATATCTTAATACCTTTAATATTGAGTACTAAAAGTTCATTCCTAATTTTCATTCGCCCTTGTACCTAGAATACCCAGAACCTAAGTATGGGAGTGCATTCATTTTGCCAAAACCTTCTTAACAGCCAGAAAGGAGCTTCAGAGACATTTCAAAGGAGGTAACATCTTTATCAGTATCAAATTCCGAATTGATTTAATTCCTTCCGCCCGACTGAGCATCTATGAGTGGTAAACATTCTCCTGATTGCATACACAAGAACCATCCACCTTAAATTAAAAGTGTTCACTGTCAGATTGATATTCAAAACAGGCCAAATCGATCAAAGGACGCTTTTACAATCACTATAAAGAGGGACGAAAACACCTCCGTTTTCGAAAGCAAATATAATAAATTTTTCCCTTCTTGCTCATAAATTACGACAGAGACGAAAGACGACAAAAGCTTCTATGTACATTTCTAAACGGAAAGAATTGGCGAGGCCCTCTTAATATAGTATCGAAATTTCTTTGTTTACAAATTAAAGGCAACGAATGCAAAGCCAAAGCATTCGGTCACAGTCTTATATACTTTTCTTCTTCTCTTTCTTAAAAGAAGTCTAAAATAAAAGCAAATTTTTGATTTCTTCATAAGTCTGCCGTGCATTCTTGTGGTCGAGTATGGTGGTGGTGCGTGTAGGGCTTACGATCGATCGGCGCAAATATGTATAAAGACATGATATAATGATGATGATTTTCTGCTTTTGTATTAGTTCCTATTTCCTGTGATACGCTATTACGTGCATCACTTAACTAAGTCTTTTCGCCGTTGCCTTTGTGTTCGAAACCTTTGTAAAATTGTATGTTAACCTTGAATGAATAAATTAACATACTGCTCTCTTATGTCATATCCATCAATCCAATTGTTTGTCCGACATATTTATAAAGTAGCATTGGCGTCCCGAAAAACGATTTTCATTATAGCAAACGAAAAATTCTATTTTTTATACAAATATTAAAAAAAGGGGTTTTATTGAAATATCGTCGGACGATCATGCTGCACCGTACCCTACCAGCTAATACTATAGCGTATGCGGAGAATAAGACATACGGAATATAAGCGGAGAAATTAACGCGTAAAAAGAAACGACTGATCAAATATTTGATGGTGAAAATTATTTTCTCCTGTCTCTTCATTTCCTTACTTTCTTTCTTTTTGTATTTTTTTTGTTTTTTTTTGTTTTTATTTTCTCTTAAGATTAATTTGCACAAATGCCTTTTTCTTATGTCAACAATGCATAACGTCTGCACAGATATACTTAGGATTAAATGAAGAACAGAAAGCCAAAATAATATCTCTAAGGAAGCGTAGGCATGAAACTCCGATCGAATTAAATCTATCTACCAGCATAATATTTAAAGCGATATAACCTTAGTTCATAAGTAATATTTTAAAAGGAAATAAGGTTTTTTTCCTTCTAAGTGAAGGTTAAATATTTAATAACAAATTATTTAATAAAAGTTTTTATAGCACTTTCGAAATAATTCGTTTATATTTAATTATATGAGTCATGAGCCTGCAAAAGCTTTTGTTGTAAACGTTGTAGTTGTTTTTCGCTTGTACGTGAATATATTTAATTTTAAACATTGCCTCACGAGAAAGACTTAAGCACACGACAATATTTCACAGCAATACATGCATTTCTTTTTTTTAATAATTGAAAATAAAATCTCACCGATTAGAGAGAAGAGCAAATGAGGAAAAAAGAAAGCAAGCTCTTGACAAATACTTACAATTTTTAACGGAGGTATAACCTTCGACAGCACTGCTATTGCTGTCACCACCGCCGTTGATTAAGAGGCCGCCATTTGACTGTCGCCCGACACTGTTTAATGTAGTGATACTATCGGCTCGAGAGCGCCAACCAGTATGACTGACGGACGACGCAGTATTTTGCTGATGATGATGATGATGATGATGATGATGTTGACTGCCGTTCGCAAGACCCACACTGGTTAAGTCACCATTTGATTTGCTGCCAATTTGGCTTTTAAGTGTACCATAAACACTGCTTCCCGCTCCTCCGCCCGTACTACTAGTTTCCAGCTGTCTGGCGTATGAGTTATCTGCGTACGCATGAAAACAGCACCTGACTAGAGCATTGGCGGCCGCCTCGCGTTTGCAGATGAAAACGTGGCATTCGAGTACTTTGATGCCAGTAGTACGGCGTAAAATTGCAGCAAAGATGGGCGGATGCTGAGCACGAGGCATCCTTGCAAAGGGTGAATCTAACGGTAGAAATTTGGGCTCGGGATTTGCATTTCCACGTTCCGGTATCAAGACCTGACGTACCGCAGCGCAATAATGCAGTGACTCAATCGGGAAGAACCGTGTAATTTCTTTAAGATTTTCATCAACATTTTCCAAAAGAATACCATTGGACCATACACTCAGCCAAGAGTCGATGCCTTTGGCACCCACTGCACCTTCGGAGGGGTAAAGACTACGCAAGGGCTCTTGAATGCCTTGCAAGCCATCTTTACTTTGCCGAGGCACTGCACTACCCAAATAAAGGACACGACACCGACATATTGGCGTTGAATCTCCCATTTTCGATATTAATTTGAATTTTTTTTTGTTTTCTGTTTTTTAGGTTATTTTTGGTGAAAAAAATGAATGACGCGCTGCTTTGTGTTATTTGCTGAAGAAAACAAACCAAGCAAAGAATGTCGTAGTGGAAACCAGACCGTACTTAGGTAAGTAAGTGTATGTAACTGCTTGTGTGAAAAACTACTTCCTTGAGAACCCGTTTTCAATGAAATATTTGTTGTTGAAAGAATAAATAAATAGACAAAACAACAAGAATAAAAAAAGGCAATCAGCACAAAGTGACGACGACGACGACGACGACGACGTTGTTCCAAAATCGTCACGATCGACCAAAGCACCGACTGTCTGCCTGTTTATCCGCCAAATCATACGTCCAACTGTCTGTTGCGAGTGAATTCTGACTACTTATGTTTCAATTTGTTGTTGTCTTTATTTCTTTGCAAATGCAAAAGCAAGAGGTAGTAAATCAGGTTTTCTGCTTTGCTGCATGCATTAGTGGTAGTGCTGCGACAGAGTAGTTTATTTGCACATATAGATGTACAAGTAACTCTTGTTTCTTAAATTCTTTAAAAGTTGCCAGAGTCGTATGTCAATTACCCATACAAACCAAATCTTACACACAGGCGTACTCATACAGAAATGTGTGTATGCACTGAATTCCGGTTCTTTGTTAATAATTCTAAATTATTTATTTTAATTTTCTTACTAGAAAACATTTTTCTTTAACTTTATTACATACATAATATGCATTTTTTGTTATGCGCGATATTAAATTATTTTTAACTATTTTTCTGGTTATATTCCTGGCGATGTTTTCTTCTTTTTTTGGCATTAATAATACGTTGGCCTTCCGAGAAATAAGACGATTATTTTTATATCATTGAGAGGGCAGCAGTGCATGATTTCACCAAGAAATGCTGTTCGTTGTTGGAAACATATTTTTTATTTTATTATTATTTGGTTTTTTTTATTTTTTCCATTTTTTTTTTTGTTTTTGTATTTCGCACTTTTCACTTTGTTAATCGCACATCGTCACCAACTCGGATTCGTATTCATACGGGCACACCAGGCACTTAAACATTCGTATGCCTTAAGATATGTAGAAACAACAACAATTTTATACAAAAATATGTACATAATACATTAGCATGTATGTATTTGTACGTAGATGCAAACAAACTTAACGTTGTGGTTGTAGAATTTTTCTATTATATATATGCCGGAGACCTGAAAAATTTATATCGCGTTAGTAGCAACATACTGCTTGTTGATCATGTTGGTTGTATTACTAGCTTGAAAAGAATGTACGTTCAATAGTAAAGGCGCGACAGACAATAGCAACAACGACAAACAACAATGTATGTATGTAACAGATATGTCAATTTCTTTAAGCGATAAAATGTCGATGTAACAATGTTTGTAAAACTGACGTATAAATGTTCGCGATCCGCGTTATGTATCTTTATCCGACTGAGGCTAACTTGACAATAGCTTGGAATAGCTCAGCAGGCAGTTATGTGGCTTTTGCTACCACAATCGTCGTTGCCTTTGTCGTTTTGAGTCTTGCTTTAAGACAAATTTACTTGCTTTACTACTTTTGTTACTTTGGCATTTTACCAAAAATTACTCTCTGTTTTCTCTCCTATTGCCTATGAGGATTTCTCTATTTTCTCAAACGAAAGAGAATACGAAAATTTATTCTCCCGGTTTCTTTTCGCTTCTGTTATCGTCCCTCTGAATAACAGGTACTTCTCAGTCTAAGGGTAGATGATAATCGCTTTGTTTACAAGTCGAATGTGTTGTTTTTGTGGTTTTCTGAAAAACTTTTCAATGTTTTAAAAGGTAAAACGTGCTTAGGAATTCGCACTAACTTCTAACTAACTTCAGCTAATTAAAGCAGACTCATGCCTCAAATATTTTGTACGAGAAAAAATACCTGTAACATACGACTTACTTTTATTCTTGTCCATTGAAGATCGCTCTCGGTGTGAAATTTACGATTTAGTCAGAGCTAAGATAAATTCATTTATCATTTGGTAATAAAATATGTACGTAATTTACTTAAGATCCCCTTCGTGTCGCCTATTTTGTAGCTGAAATAGCCCCAGATAATCGTTAGACTTTACCTCTCTTTCTCTCTCGCTCTTCAATTTCTATGCACACATATACGAACATTAGACTGCTTCATCACTTGCATGAGAAAACTGTTTCCACAACCACTTCTCAACGCCTTAAATGGTTGTTGCATTTTATATCCTTTATTCAGTTTTTGTCACCTAGAAATATATAGCATCGGATCAAAAAAGTAACGCTGAGTTATCAAAGGGGCGTCTTGTTTGTTTTGCAGCGTAATTCATTATCTGACTTATATCGTACTATTATTATTATTGCTATTATGTCTTTAAAATTGGGGAAAAAAAATGATGAGGTATTGCCGTACACCAGCAGGATGAGGTACTTTTCAGTGTCCGATACGATGAATATATTTGAGGGCACGAATAAAATGAAATTATCACATTATTCCCGTCCTCGACGCAGCAAGCTTAGATACAAGATCGAGAATTTTCTTTGTTCGTCCAAAGTTCCTCAGGGCAGACACGTTTCTAAGCTTCAACTTTATTTACGAAAAACTTAATCCAAAAATGCACCAGAAATTGATAGTAAATTCGAAAAAAAAACCGACTTAAAAAAGGGAATATTTCAAAATGCAAACCACTTGTGTTGCTATTCAACTTCAGGTGAATGTCTGCTTTTAATAGGGCACAAACCCTTATCCTAGCTATTTCGTTACGGCAAAGTGACAAATATTGGTTATTGGTGTTCAAGTGTATGAGACTAGTACGAGTTTTTCACTTATTCGGATGAAGGTCTTCGTTTTGTTCTCAAGCAGATGTAATTATCTACTGATCTATTAATAGTGATATCAATATTGTCGGATGTACAAAGTCAGCTGACTATAAAAGACAAAATTCCGATTTAATCTACTAATAAGAATTATTATTACTACGACCTAACGATTTGCTGATTGTGGGTTCACATCTCAAGTTCGGTAGAGTTTTCTACAAAGCCGACAGCTTAAGATACTAGCGCTCTAGCTTGGGAATTTATTTCCTTGGCTAAATTAATAATAATATTGCTATTACTATTACATTGGCCGATTACAATATAATAGAATAGGATCGAATAGGATGTGAATATTTAGCACTGGAAGATTTCAAGAAATAAAAGCATAAATGTTATTGTATATGTGTGCTTGCTGTAAAGGATAGTAATTATTTTTGTTTGTCTTTTACTTATATCATTTGTAATAATTAAAACGTTATCAAGAAGAATGAAAATGGATGAATACCGCAAATAAACGCCGCATTTATTATCAAGCGAATATCATATAAAACATATCAAGGGGAAATCGATCGCAAACAAATTATAGATGTTTGTGTAGGTGTACACATATTTTATAAATAAAACAGTTAAGTACAAATACATTTTACAGCATTCTAATACTGGGAAGCAATGGGGCTTGAAATCGAGCGATGTCATTAGATAATCAGGTCCATCCAAGGCGACTAACGAGCCATAGATGTTCATTTATATGTTTACTGAACATTTCCGTTGTTTGATATATTTGACTCTCGTTCACCAGTTTGCGTCTCAATGTCGTATTATGGCCGATGAATTGCTGTTTATAGCTATACATTTCTTCTTCTTCTTCTTCTTTGGCCATTTGAAGGCAAACGAATATTATGGATATGTTTTCTAGTTTCTATACGTACATCGAATGAATATCTTCTGAATGTACGTTAAGTATGCACAAACACATGTACACTCGCAACTTACATTTGGTTGTTTATTTGCGTTAGCTCGGGCAATGTTGTCATACAATAAAGTCGTTTAAAAAACATTTAAAAAGAACAACAAGCGACGCACTCAATCATTAACTATATTAATTTCATAGCAGCATTCCAATCGATCAGAAAACAACTTTGATCGCAAACGTTAGATTTTAGTGACAGTTTCGGTGTTGTTTCGTTCTTATTTAACACTCGAGGTGTGCGATTCTCTTTTTGTTATTCTTTTTTTCTGGAATTGCAATAAAATTTTATTCTAACCGTAATAATACCCTACAGCACCTGCGACAGAGTACAAATATCAAGTTTGTGCGAATGTGTGTAACACAAGGACCGATTAAAGACAGACTCATCTCTTATTGTGCCTGTCAGAATGCATTATAATTTCGTTAATCACTTTAATCTTTACCTTTGCTTTGGTTCTTGCACACAGATCATAAGTTTCGTTTCGGCCCGAGGACGAAAGCCATCGAAAACAGATGAGATCGGACAAATTTTACGACCACTCGTCATAACAAAATTCACAAAAATTTTTGCAATTTTGAAAATATCGTAACAAAAACCGCTCTGCAATAATATTGGGGCATATCAAATTGATTTGGAAAATTGGTCGCTAATAGTAATTTGGTATAAAAATTAAATATAACATGCACGGATCGCGTAGGTCTGTTTTTCGAGCCTCAGTCCTTACAAAGGTTCGATTAGAAACCCAGCCTTTATATTGCAACAAAGCTCCATATTTTTAGCATTTTACAATGATCGATACACCGATAAGACCGTTGGCAAAAAAATAAATTTTTGCTAAACGTGGACGCGCTTCCTTTAATCAGTTGATTGTGTCGACTTCTTCAGCAATACACTCGTGCACCCATTAAAAAAATGGGGTTGGTTTGGAATTAAAAGAGTTGACAAAATGATAAAAATATTTTCGAAAATTTGTTATTATCACAAAGGCACATTCATAATGATAAAGTTTTACGAAAAAATCCCACAGTGACAAGGAAACAAAGTCTAATTTTTGGTATTTTATGAGGAAAATAAACGAAGAATTGTGCAACGCATTCTTTCATAGGATGTTCGGATGGTCGGCTTCCCCCAACTCGAATGTTTTCAAATATTTTTACTTTTCTACTAAAAAATTTGTTTTTTAAATTCTCGGTGGCATTCTGCTCAATGCTTCCAAGAAATTGTACGCCTACAAACATTCGCGACCTCAAATTCCAATTTTTAAAATATTTTCTTTTTTATTTCAAACTCTACACATTATGGAAGAATGATATCTACTCAAGGGCAAAAAATAAAACGTAAGTGCAGTCGCTCATTTAATTACTCTCATGTGGCACCAAATTCGAAGTCGCATTACAAACTGGCAACAAATGGTAATTCAGACTCGTTTAATGGCTTCGCAATAATATGAAAAAGGACGGTTGTGGACAAATGGAAATATCCATTTTTCTTTTTTTAATTTTTTTCTTATATTGATATTATTTAGCTTTTATTTTTTGTACCAAAGTTAAGCGCTAGTTTGAAAGAGCAAAGCTTTATGTACGTTTGTTGAAAATGAGGTTTTCAATTTATCTGCCTAAACCTGATACTATGATCTTAACGGCCAAAAAATTGCCGTTACAATTTACAAGCTGAGTCAACTTCACACGAAACCGAAAAATTCTAATCTATATTCGTAGAGAAAGACCTACACTGCTTGTGGTATAGAGCATATTAAGTTTGAGCGGATGTATTATAACACCAAAAAGGACTTAAGATAGTCTCACGTTTTCTTATACCGATCGGGCCTGGATAATTTTCTGAATTGATCAAGGCTTGCCTTCCCGATGTCTGCCCATATATATTGGGTTTAACCTACGCGGGCGTGTTTTGACCTGAGGACGAACGCTACTGAAAATGGTTCGGATTGGTCCACTTTTTTGAGAGTTCGCCTTATTTCGAAAAGTCGGTATATAGAAAAAATCATTTGTATACAAATTCCAAACAAGTGAGAAAATACAAATTCCACACAACTGAGAATGTTTGAATATGTTTGTTTACAATTCTCAATCGTTTTGCATGTATTTCGGTACTTTAAGGAATAAGAGTTCGCTTATAATGAATAAAAAAATTGCCAAAATGGTTGAATGCCTGACTAACAACTTAAATGGCCAGATCGTTTAATTTGCAAAGCCGCCAGCTTTATAAGTGAAAAAATCTGTTAAGGCAGCTTTATAAGTGCAAAAATCTGTTTTAAACATATTCATTGCAAAATGAAAAATGAAAATTGCCGTCGCCATTTATAATAAATCAGCATTAATGTTATTTATTGTCTAAATGAAACACGAAACGCTCTGTAGCTTACCGAAGACAATTTAGTGAATACAAGTGCTCTTATTTTATAGGCATAACTAAATTCTAGCAAGTCAATGAATTAAAATGAATTTTGGGCTCTAATATAGCAATGGAATGCATCTTTCAAACTGCATGTGGTTCGTATCTTCGCTCTTACAACAATTAATGTCATATATGCCTGTGAATGAAAATATTCTTGTAAATTGTTTTTCAAAACCTTCACAATTCCACAAGCACGCATACGGTCTTGGATATTTATTTAGGGTCTGCAAGGGTGTGTGTAAAAAAAATATCTAGTATTTTTATTTTTTTTAATAATTATAATACAGGGTGCCTTGTTCGCCTTATTGTGAACAGTCGCGAATAGCGCGGGCCTTTTGTTATTGTTTTTTCCTTAAATAATAAGATAATGATGAAGGCATCTATATTTGTTCATCGGATTAGATTTATATCATCCAGATTCATCCATAGCTTGATGGCTACTTCGCAGATCGCGCCGTAGTAAAAAAAGTTTGGAGATTTTGTAAGAGCTGGGCCAAAGGATGTTTGAATTTTATATTTCTGCATTTCATTCCTTAAATGATATCTTGCTATTAATTTTTACTTTGGCAAATACTTATGCACATTCAACCAATCAATTAGTTTCAGTACTCTCTAGGCAATAAATTGGTAATTAATTTTTTAATGACATTTTTAGTTTAATATACTGTATCATTCCATATAAAGAAGTGCAAAAAAGTACATAGATCTCAACCTAAATTATTGAAATTATCATTAGAGGTCACATCCCTGCCCAAGCTGTGTGCACACTTTACAATGGTAATAGACTTTCAGCGTTTATTTCTTCCTCGTCTGATTCTTGGCTTAATTCGGTACTATGCATGCCCGTACGAGGCCGCTCAAATTGCGGCGGTGGACCTAAAGGATCCGTATGCTGAGCAACTGAAACATAATTGGAAGAGTTTAGTATCGCAGTGCATGGACGACCTTAAAAACGCTTGCGGGTATAACTTACTTGTGAGCATTGGTTCAACAATACGTTCATAATGATCGCCCTTAAATTTGGAGGTTATCGCACTCGAAATACTATCATTATCCGCATTTGTCAGGAAGTACGGATTGTTTTCAATTTGGTTACGAACTATTGAAGAGAAAACAATGATTTTTTTTTATTAAAAGCAACTTTTGTGGGGAAACTTTTAGAAACCTTTCAATTTACTGCTGCCCAGACGACTTGAAGGCGCGGATGAGAGACGTTGCTGCTGATAACGCTGTTCATTTTCGCGTTCCATTTGCGCTTTCTGAAGTCGTGTCAATTCTTGAGTATATTTTTCAGTCAGTTCGGTCATTCCTAAGCTTTTGGTTACTTGAAGTAACGCTCGAACACAGTTCACGTTTTCGGGAAAGAGTGAATAAATGTTTTCAAACATACGTAAATACTGCTTGGGTGGTAAATAGGAGTTGCGATAACAGCTGGCTACACGTAGCATTAAATTTGGATCATTTGGGTCGGCTAAAACTGCTCGCTCGTAGTAATACAAAGCCTTTTCAATTGCTTGCAATTTGATATAATACGAGCCAATCGAACTGGCGATATTAATATCACTGGGATTAATACGATAGGCTTCATTGTAATATTGATTGGCCTCCTGATGATCGTTTAGTTGTTCGTATATGGAGCCAACTTTTTCATAAAAACGCGAATCAATCTCACCCGCCGATATCCCCAACACTTGTAAGTATAATTGAAGGGCAGCGGAGGAGCTATTAAGTCTATAGCTAGGACCTGCAACGGACGAAGCATGCAATTTCTCTTGCAGTTTGGCCAGCTGATAATAAACGTGACTATGCTGTACGGAATGTGGCACCATTAACTCGGCCTTTAAATGCTCAAATTGCTCCTCGGCCACGGCCAAATCATTCTCCTGTAACGCCACAAGACCTAAATTGTAATTAGCCTCAAAATTGTCGGGTTGTATTTGTAGCGCTCTCTCCAACTTATTACGTGCTGCAGTGTAATTCTGTTTACGATAATCGATAATGCTGGCATTGACGAGAGCCATTGCATTCGTTTGCAACGCTCCGATCTCATTTAGCTGGCTTACACAGTGCGTAGCCATATCCAGGTTGTCCATCTGCAATATAAATCAACCGTTGAAAATACACATCAGTGAATACATTCCTTGGTGTTTAGAATGCATACTCAGAGTTTGGGTTGTTTTCTTGACAGGGCGACTTTAACAAAAAAAAAAAAAAAAATAATATGAAGCTATGGTCAGCGAAAAATATTTACAAATATATTACAAAGAACTAATTGGATTAAAGAGTTTCAAGTAAATAATAAGGTAACAAGCCATCAGAAGCCAAATGGATAAGAGTCGCGAGTGCCAACTCGATCGATCGCGATTTCAATGTCAGTGCGATACAGCAACTTTGGCCGTAGCTATAGCGAGTGGTCACTTGGTAAAGGTGTAACACTTGCCACAACGGCACATGACATCTAGAATGCCGGCAATCCACTATATCTTCCACTTTCCTCTGTTCTTTCCGCCCGTCACCGTTTTGCAGATACAAGTGGGGCACATCTTCTGAGTGATTGGTTTACTTTGGCACAAAAAAAAAAGCAGAAAGAAATTTAGGATGCTAGGGTCCGTCGTTCCGTCCGTCCGTCAATATTCATTAGAAGATGTTAAGCAACAAAAAGCTTAACGTAATGTTTACTCTGGTTGCAGGACACAAGCAACGCACAGTTGGTAAAGGCATAATATTTCTCACTTGCGTACACGTCTTCTAGTCTGCGACCCTTTGTATCTCTCGCATTCCTCCTTTCCTTCTGATCGTCACTGCGTTACACATAATAGGGAACATCCTTTGAGTCATTAGAGAAAAAACAAACAATTAAAAAAATGTAGTGGAACAGATCGCACCATTGAATACTCTACACCACTTCATTTAATACAGTTATTCATATAACGATTTCTCACAATAACGCGTCATAGGAAGCGATCAAAGAAGTGGTCGGATCCGAACCATTTTCAATAGCATTCATTCGTAAACCAAAACATTTCGGTGCACCACATTTCGTCAAAATACCTCCAACTTGCCATCTGTAAGTTGCACACTCGCCTCTTTCATTCGTGGTACGCTCTCTTTCTCTCTCTCTCTCTCTCTCTCTCTTCTTCCTGGAATATTCTTGAAGATGTGGAAAGTATAAGTACACATAATGGTAGGGGTTACTTCGCTTCCTCTTTAAACGCCTGAATCTTCGATTTTCTTACGTTTCACGTTGACAGGATGCGCTTCGATTTAAGGAATTTTAAATGGACATGTATTATTGCCCACGGCACATGCTAAGAATGTCTCCTCGGTCGGTATCCGCATTCTCTATTCAGGCAACTTGGGTAGCGCCAAGGTTAAATGAGCTCTCTTTAAACTCGCTTGCTTTCGAAATTTCTCATTACTGGCCATATCATATACTCCTAGTTGTGGCCGTAAAGTGTCTGCTTACGAGAAAGAACCAAAAAAATTTTTATGAATCAATACACATGTTCAAGTCTAGTATATAAATTGATAGCAGGATTCAAGCAAAGTCCAAAACTGAACCATCTATACTCAAAACAAGCGCATACAAAAACGCAACTTTTCGAAAGACGAACAACGCTTTCTTCATTATTCCATACATACAGAGGGCTTTAACACAAGCTCGAGATTCAGTTTCTTTAAGTATGAGGGGCAATAATTTAAGATTCGTGCAATAGAAGACTATTGTAGACAGAAATTCGCTAACCTTTATAAAGTGCATAAGCTTCAAGGTTCATACTCCAAAAATAAATTTTAGAAAATAAATAAAGTTTCCGTCATTCAGGCGTCGAATTACGCGCAGAATTAAAGCAGAGACGAAGCCACGGCCATCTGAAAATTTCTATTTCTATGCTTGTCAACTGAAATCCGAGTAAGCACAAGTTTTTGTGTATGTGTTTAACATTTATTACTTACATTTATATAAATGAATATTAGATTAGTTAAAGCACTTGCTGTCATTGAACCCTCACTTTTACGGTCGTACATCTGCAAAGTCTCAATCGCCTGATTGACATCATTTTGACGTAGATATACCAGGGCTTTATTCAATTCCAATTCACTGGCTAGCCACGCTAAATGGGACGTTTTAATGACCTCAATACACCAATTGTATCCTAAAATAAATTGTAATGAAAACCACATTGATTGCTGTGCCTGTATAGGTTTTGTACGAATATGACGGATGCCAAGCAAACATGCATTTAGATAAACGTGATGCTCGCAATTGAAATGCATCTTCACACATATGTGCGAATGTACATACTATATGGTGTGAATGTACGTACCAAAGCATTGCTATGCGTGTATGTAAAAATTTTTGCATCAATTTTCTCTGCCGCTGGATTTGTAAGAACTGTTAGCAAAACGGTGTTTTTATGTCCGTACCTGCATACATACATGTATGTATGTATCTGCGCACATATATGATATTGTATGCAAAAAGGATTGATATGCAGCTGTGTCCAGCCAATTTATTCAACTCACCGTCATTGTAGTTCTCCTCAATAATTGGCGAAATTAAATCGACAATCATAGTTATGGCTCGCTTTTCAGTAATCTTGCGTTGCTTGACGTAAATCGCCAGCTCATCGGATTTAAGCGTTTGCAAAATGTAATTATTACGATTCGCAGCAGTCTTTAAACCCGTTTTCGGCCTTTGCTCAAAACCACTGACACAGTTGCCATTGCGATTCGTATCAATTGCATTCATGGCGAACTCTTCACCTAGTGCACCGGCATTTTCGCCGTCGATAACCTCTATTTCCGCTGTCGTCGTTTGTTCACATTCATTCTGCTGATATTGCTGCTGCTGCGAAAATCTTTTAGACGAGTTGAGTTGTGTGCTTTGATGTTGTTGTTCGCTTGCAATATGCTGCTGCAATTTAATAATGCTGCTTTCATTTTCCAAATCCTTTTCGGCCTCAGTCGGTTGTATATCACATAAATTTCTGAATGTATGTTTTATTTTATCAACATCTCCCATCGCGTAATAGCAAAGTATTAAATGTATTCCACTGCGGATATCTCCCCGTTCAGACATGATGAACTCAAAGCTGGCCGCCGCATCGGCATATTGGCCCATTCGCACAAACAGTAAACCGATATTCTGCGTTATTTTCAGACGTAATTGCTTTAAATTGCTCGGCACCGAATCGAGGGCCTAAATAAATAGTGGTTTAATTCTTCAGGCTGAAAATATCAATTACATATTGCGTACCATGCGATACATTTTAATAGCCTTGGGGTAGATACCCATACGATAATAAATGTTTCCCATATTCAGCTTTAATTGATTCACATGCGGAAACATTTTGTTTTTTGTCATAATGCTGTACGTGTTGAGCGCTTCAATATTCATGTCATTGCGTTCATACTGCTCCGCAAGATTAAAGAAAACCTATAACATAACCATATATACTTTGTATGTAACTAAATGAAGTACAAAAATTCTCAATATAAGCACATCTCCATCCCTTTTCATTTAGTTCCAAGTTCTACTGAATATAACCTTCGACAAAAACGATATGAAATTTATATGAACGTTAAAGCGAATTTTGTCGAATCTAAGCAAATTGAACATCAGCACACAAAGAGTTCTTTGAATTAAATAGTCTTATTAGCTTGTGAGGAAGGTTTTCGAGGGAATTTTGAATTGGTCATTAGGTGAAATAAAGCAAAGTAGACATGTGAATAAATATATGTTAAAGTCGAAGGTTCACTCACCGCATATGTTAAATCGAAATTGTGAAATATATTTTCTCCGTGTTGATCCCGAAATCGATGTAAGGTACGATCTAAAGAAAAGGCCTCCTTAGCTTTATTCAAGCCCTCAGCCAACGATGCCTTTACTTCAGCGGGCAATGCTGCTTGTCCGTGACCGACGTCGCTTTCGTTCGCAATTTTTGTGCGAGAAAGAGCGCGAGCTGACAAAAGCACTGAGGACTCCAGCAGTTTTGTTATTTTGCCTTCTAAATTTTTATATTTCATCTGTGGACTATATAAACATAACCGTTAGTATGGGCGTAAAATTAACGCAGTAACGCCGTTACTCTTAAAACGAATTTACGGGGGAAAACATCGGCAGGAAGAAACAAAAAAAAAAAAAACAAAAAGGAAGTTTGATGTCCGAGAGTCAAAATTGTTTCACTATATCATAAGCAATATTATGACATATACGACTATGTATATACTTCACTTTTGTTCAATAAAATATCGGCCTTTAAGGATTCTTCTGATCAATATTCAAATCGCTCGAATAACAGAGACACAGCTCGGCTCCATTCAAACTTGGACTTGCAAAATACAAAGTACAACGGTTTAATTGTGCTAATGTGGTCTTTGAAAGACTTAAGCTAATATTCGATTGTCTGTGATATAATGTGTCCAAAGTAAAGGTTTTTGCCAGTTATGCTTTCGAGTGTGTAAGTAAGATTTTTTACGCTGCATAATTGGAAATATTGCAGGAAGCAAAGGAGAAAATTGTTATGTTAACAACTCAGTAACTGTTAAAGAAGAGAGAAAACTATTTTTTTGATGTGATTCTTGCTTTTTCCCTACAAATGAGAAATGGTGGTCAAAAATGCCTCTAGGAATCAAGGAGAGGCGAACACTTTTAAGAAAGCTCATGACGTCGTGTCATATTTCGTGCATAACATTCCTCGCCGCTTGAGTGATTCTAAAAATGCTCAATTTTGGTCAACACTTTTTTTAGCTAAGAACAAAAAGGAAACATAGCACTACTCTCGTGATAGAATTGCGGGTAACTTTTCCAACTTCGAATATCTTAAGTTATCAGGGGCTTCAAGGCGCAAAGGTTTTACCCTCGCCTACTTAAGCAAGTTTGCAGATGATAGATATGCATGAAGCTCTACGCATTTCAAATTCCGCTTAATTATGGTCAAAAAAGAGATCTGTTACACCTATTAACTATGGAGAAGACATACGAACACATTTCGGGGACCCTCGAATATATATAACTTATGTAACTGCTAGGAAAGGAAAGGTAGTTAAAAGGAAAACTAGTTAAGGAGTGTTTGTTGGTAATGCTTCTTGAAAGCACGATTACGATTTCGGTTTCAGGACACGTCTGGAAAGGCATTGGAAATTATTGCTTTCCATTATCGTTAAGATGAAGATTGATAGATAATCCTATCCCCGACTTACTTAATAAAGCTTCTCATCAACACATTTGTAATATAATAGATGGAACAACACTACCAAATGCCAAATGCACGCAGAGTAGCCCGGTGAGGGATTCTACCGTTGATAACTAATTGCATTTCCTTGTTGCTTTCAATAACACATGATCACAATTGACTTAATTGAGTTAATTGTGCTATGGCAGTAACAGGATTTTTATGATAATCAATTTTCTAAATGGGCGAACTCACCTGATTTCTTTGGTAGCTTCTACCGCAGCATTGGCTGATGACAAGGCTTGCTGTTTAGCCTTCTCCACGAAGAACTGATCAAAACCAGCCGTGCTTGTGCTATTTCCTTCATAGCCAACACCACGTACGGCTGTCGATGGACGAGCTAAAGCAGTTTTATCGCTTCCAATACGGCTGCTGATTAAATTACCGCGCTAACCGAAAATAAATGTTGGAAAAATTAATTTTTTTAATTAAAATTAAAACTTTTTCGTACCGAGAAAAGCAAAGACGTGGGTGGGCGGCCAGCCGCTGTTGGTGGTGGCACCTTTTGATTGGGATTCGGAAGAACCGCAACTGAGGAATCCTCAGATGCCTCCTGCAAAGCGTTCTCTTCGCTCATTTGACAGTTTGTTAAAAACTCACACGTTCTTTCAGTCAAGTACTAGCCCGTTTTCGCTTTCATGTAGTAACAGCAATTATTATATATGCTTCGATTCACAGAAGTATAGGAAAACTCGACTCGAACGTTATCAAAGAAGAAATGTAATAGTGTTATATATACGTCAGGTCACCAAACTTCGGAGATGTTAAGTAATAGAATAGTTTGCAAATTTTAAATGAATCCTTCTTTCGGCTAAGAAAATGTGAAGTATTCTTTTCGTCTTAAAATTTATGGTATACTGTCTTGCATAAAACTTCTGCAATCGACTGGAAATTCTTTTACGGTTTGTTTACTTTTATATTGCGTTGCTATTAGCAACTTCTGTTTGGCTTTTGTTCAGCGGCAATCCACGCCAGAATGCCGTCTGCTCCTCAATTAATTTGTTGTTGTATTATGGTTACTATGCGAGTAACGAGTCAAAGTAAATATTGTTGGCCGTCAATCTTTAAAATATAAAGCAACGATAACGTAGCTACAATGAGGCTTTTTATTAACATTACACTACGTCCGCTTTGGAGTTTATAAAAGTTGTGCAGATGTATGCAACACCGGAAAAAGTTAAAGAGGAACCATATTTTATTGTACAAGTCGTTTCGAAATCATTTCTCAATCAATCGAAGCTTGTCTGTCTATCTCCATGTATATTTATATTGGGTTGAGAATTTTATTAGGCAAAATGACGTACGGTATTCAATTGTGGATCTCGCTCCAGTGTTTTGTTTCTATTTTGAAAATAAGTAAAAACTTTTATTGTGACGGATTTGGCAGGTACCTGGTCGCATACTACTAAGCGCAGGATTTTCGTATTCAGTATTCCAAAATCTCGAAGGAAATAAATGTAAACAAAGGGTGTTTTAAAAGAATTAGCTTAGCATATTTTCTGTTTAAGCTTTAACAGAGCTCATCCATCTATCCATATATTTCTGATCGCTTTTAACGTTTTTAATGAGATATTTAATGAGATAAGTAAAGGGACATAAATTAAATTCCTCTTCGAGGATTGTATTTGTGAATATCTGAAAAGTGAAGTAATGAGACCAATTCTTTACTGAAATTCAAAATGTGAGAATAACTCACTAACCAACTACTAAATAAATCCCTTGTCATTAGGCGAACTTATGTTTGTTGTTTATTGTAAATATTAATTAATGCATTTAATTACACTAAAGTAGAGTTTAATCAGTGTACATATATATATATATATATATATATATATATTCCGGAACATGTATTCATATACGTGTCCTAGAGCTCAAAGCGCAGTGCATTGATGATAGTAAATCAATAAATAATTACGTTTGCTTGCACATATCCGCCCTTCTACGTGCAAACATATTTGTGCGCATTCACTGTATTACAGATGAGCTAGAATGTCCTATATCTGTGTTTATTGTGCTTTCTGTTAATGGTTAAAATATGAGGACGCAGCGGAATGATTGAAATGTTTCCTAAATTTCAAAAACTTATAATCACTTACCTATACATGCAACTCTTTCGCTTGCATGCATAATAATCCAAGTTTGATACCATTATTGCCTAGAAGAAGAAGAAGAAGAACAAATCTTACGATTTCCTTTATTAAAAAGATATGTGATCATTATACGCACATATATATCTACAATATAATAAAAGAAAATTTACTTACATCCGTTCACAGACAGATATTCCTTCAAAGATGGAATATTAATGATTCTTTCCTCGTCATTGAAATTTTACAATTTCAGTAAAAGCGTTCATTTCCTTCGCTTAGCTTTTGCTAAAGATGAGCTGAGTCTTTCTGAAATGGTCTGCGAACGTGTATATTCTCTTGTATGCATGCATGTGTGCTTTTCTTGTTCATATACAATTTGCCATTTTTGTGTCTCTTCATTTTAGAAAACGTTGCATTGTATTAACAACGTTGGAAAGTTGTCGCAAAGCAAGAAGCTCGTTAATTACAAAATCACAAGCGAACACGGTGTCTTTCACTTGAATTACTTTTTAATTAACGAATAAAAATCACAATAAACAACAGTAAAAATAGCAAACTCAAAAAAACATTAAAAACAGAATGTCTAAAAATTGATCAAAGACTAACAACAACAACAACAACAACAACAGATGATAAATGTAAAGACACATACATACATCTATCCCGAATCTATTCGAAGGATATATAGAAGGAATTTAAATTTTAAAGGAAAACTCTTTTTCTCAATCTGAAATTTGAAATCATTAAATCAATTAACAACATCGACAACATACACAGCAATCTATGTTTGCAAATTCCTTTCTGCTTAACTACAAGTTTTAAATGAGTTTAAATAAGTTTTGTATTAAAATGCATCCTTCATATTACCATGTGGGACTTTCTTTGGTCAAATTGAAAAATCGTATGGGAACTATGTACATCTCCAGCAGAGTTCTCTGATTTAATTTGGCAAATCTAGTTATTCATAATATTTACAATCGGTGTGATACTTTCTCCTTTTCGATCGTAAACAGAAAATATTAGGAGATTCGGAAAGAAATGTCGTTTTTTTGGCCAAACCAAAAGTCGATCTCATATGCTGTGTCAAGCGTATACTTTATTAAGAACAGCAGAGTTCAATAGATCAAAACTCTCAATGTTCTTGCGGGTTGTCGTCCGGCGATTTACTTCAATTAATGCCTTTATTTTGCCTTTATCAACTCAATACCGTTATTCTGTCTTTATCTAACCTTTCACAACGTGAGTCATTTGTTTCTTGCTTGAACATCATTTTTATCTTTTCACTAGCAACAAAAGTGAAGTAAGCCGAAAATGCTGCTCTCGACTTTCTGTAGTTGTTGTGGCACCAAACCAGACACCGGAAAAATTTTGAGCAGAATCACATAAAATGTTTATCACACAAGCGTTACGATATCAGCTGAGCAGTTAAGATATCAGCATGTATGCTGACAGTGCATCTTAAATGCGGAAAGATGCCATTAAATCCACTGTTGGGAAAATACGAAATGACCTTGCGAGCAACCTAATAGTCTAAAAGATTTTCCTATTCGCTACGGGAAGTGTATATTATGTGGTGATGTAGACACAAGTGCACAAACAACACAATGACAAGACAAGTTAAAATAAAAAATCATTTAAGCCAGCGTTTCTTACATTACGCAAGAAAATGAAATCCGGTTCCGGCCAGATCTTTTAAACTCCGCAAAAAACCAAATTCACAAAATAAAGCTAAAAAAAAAGTTTCGATTCTCTATAACCTTGCATATACATGAGCACCTCTTTCGCTGTTATGCACGATCACATACTGAATATACGTCGACGCCTTCATCCTTACATCACATGTAATTTGTAAGCAATGTACAAAAAGTCTAATTTTTTTTTAAATTTTGTGGACGTGTCATTTAACCGATTTGACTCGTTCGACTTGCCTGCACAAACGTCTATGGTACCACACCACCTGGGGGGATGTGCAGAGGAGCAATTTTTAATCAATTCATGTATGCTTTATGCAGTCTCTTCTCTGTAGCTTTCTTCTGGGTACCGTCATCGTTTGATGGTGGGTATAGAAGAAAATGCAAAAGGAAAGAAATCCCAATTTCTGGTAGAAACTTATTGGTCGCGGCCAGAAATGGCAACAATTCATACAATGACAGAACGTAATTATTAAAGTCAAGTTGTGCTTGGATGCAAGCTACAACAAAAGTTGAAAAAAATAAAACGAGAAAACACATCCCGAAATTGCAGAGCAATAAAACTTGGCCGCGATCCACCCACCGACCCATTTTCGCCCTACTTCAACTTTGCTGACTTTGCTGCGTGCTAGCCAAGCCACGCTGCACCGATCTGAACAAGTGGTAATCAGGAGGCGTCATATCTGGTGAGTCCGCTGGATGTGGCGGAACTTCGCATTCGAGCTGCAACATCCTGTATCTTGGACAACTCTTGCAACAAGTGGTCAAAATGTCATTTTCAGTCAATTCATGTCGCCACTTTTAAGCCGTGGAATCCAAAACCGACAATTGCAAAATGATGGAGCAGCATCACCATAAGCCTCTGAACGTGTTTGTTGGACTTCCACAGCGGATTTCTTCAACAAAATGATAGAAGTAATGAATTGGGAAAAAGAATTTTGAGCACTGTATGATTACCGTGCGACGTGCCCTGAATAAATCATTAATTTTAAAAGGAATACGGTTATTTTCACTCTTACTGTAGAGGTCGCTGAAGATAACTTTTGCAAACATTTAACATTAATAGCTTGTTTGAACCATTATGTAAAGCTTTTGATCGAACTTAAGCTATCTATGTTTGTTGGTCGAAGAAAAAATTGTAAGTTATATAATACGTGAATAATTCTAATTACAAGTCCAATGAATACCTTACATTTTCATAAAGACAAGTCTCATATCTGTTAGCCATAAAATTTTACAACCTTAGTTAAGGCAGTTTTGTAATGTCAATCGTTTGCGTGTTTATGTATGAGCTTTAATTAAACTTGACTGAATTTACGCTCTCTATTTACTGTAGGCATGTTCTTTGATTATAACAGAGTGCTTCAAACTATTTGATGTTATTTCATTTCGGTTTATTGGAATTTATCTATGCATGCGAACAAAACAAGTGAATTTATTGAAACCTCTCATGAAATGAAAAATTTATGATTACTGACGTTATTGCTCTCGAGAAACACATGGCGGTCATCATATTGTACTTGACTTGAATCATCGCTAAATATTTATTTTTCTAGAAAAGGATGCTTTTTTCTTCAACAGCGTGGACAGGTGAAAACTTGCAGTACAGGGAATATGATAGCGTCACTGTTGTAACTGCCCTTTAAGTAGATCACAAGAAGCAAATGCCAGTTTACTTCCGTACAATAAAGGGAACTTTCAGTGCTTTAAAAAAAAATGTTACTATATAGATATAAAAATCTTTCGTCTGTAACGGTAAATTAACACAGTAACAGCAAATTAAATGTTGGACGAGA